TATTAAATCACATTTCTTCGATTACAAACTCACATGTGACCGCTCAATTACAATTACATTTCAATTAACCTGGTTTCCAATATAGATAAAGTCTAGACCGAGGCATATTTAGTTTATGGCTGGAATAATGTGGCTAATACCCAATTGGAAGCCGTGAAAACAGCTTTATCAGATAATATGGTCAATAACCATAACAAACGCTGACCACTATCAAACAGAAGCTGCCCGTTCAATTGCCCAATTTGGACTTAACCCACACCGTCCGCTTCCCCTTACTCTTCCTCTGCAGCACTTGACTTGATAAGTGAACCACCGATCCACCGATCCACCGATCCACTGGGTACATCTATATACATATGATACATATATGTATAGATACTCTTGTGTGCCCACTACTGCGCCATTTCCATTCCATTTCCAAATCCGATTCATTGAAAGAACTCAAATTGCGTGACAGAAAACGTGATTCGAGTGGGTTCCGTTGCGGTATTTGCTGCCTTATTTATTTATTTACTTTTTTTCCCCCTCTGATTTTGTATCGCTTGTTTCGATTTCCCAAAATAAACGTCTATATTTATTTGAGTGAAATATTTTGCGTGGCACTGCAGTTTGCTATGCACGGGGCCCGGGCCTGTAAGTGGATGCGATCGAACAGAACAGAACTGAACTGAACACAAAACACCCGAAACGAAATGAATAAAAACAAAAACAGTATTCAAATTGCAAAAGAGTACACAGAGCCGAAAATTTACATTTTTGGGAATTCTCAGTTGAGGGTTATTTAAGGTTTTTCTAAGAACTGAGTGTACGCTTCTTAAAATACGTTTTTATTTAACAAAGACTAGACGTTTATGCTTTGTTTAGATAATAAATAAATATTTAAAAAAATATATTAAGATAATAAGAATAAAAATACTAAAGTAAGAAAGAAAGCTTACTTCAAGATTGATTCATGTGCCTATTTAAAATCAATCATTACTAAGCCATATGTTATATGCATTAATTTCAATTCGCAAAGATTTACTGTGCTGGTTTTTATTAAGGTTAAAAAATCATGAAATAAGCAGACTTCTAGTCATAGATCTGGGCACAACTACCCTAGAGAAATACAGAGAAACAATATGCATTTGGAAATGTATTTTATATTATTAATAACCTCACTTGACAAATGTTTTAATCTCACACTTTTATATTTAATATTCCAATATCATAAGATACTTTTTTTCTGTGCACCAGATACATTGGGGCCTCTATGGACACTGGCAGATTTGCAAGATACAAAGCGCATATATATCGCAATACCGTTGTTATTTACATCAAGTCCCGCGGAGATTCCAACGAAGTCAGGCCCCAGGTCCCTATATAGATCCAATAACGCACGATCAGGTTGCTCGATGGAAATTCTTTCGCACCGGCAGTCACGTGCCGCTCAAGGTGATAAGGTAGGTGGTCGCTCCCGCTCCCCCCCCCCCCCCACTGATACCAGGAGCTCACCTCACCTGTTCCCATAAGTCTTCCTATCAGCGATAGACTGTGTAAATAGCGGTCCGTATTGCTATTGTTTTTAATGTCGCAGTGTAAAGTGTAAATGGGTGAGGGGAGTCGAAATGACTTAGGTTAGTTAGCTGCCACCGCGGAGAACTGACCTTGCCCATACTGGGGTTGTACTTCGGTGGGGAGTGGCTGCGGCGGGCTGTGCCACTTGAACCGCCGCCGGCGAGTTGAATGTCAAAGCCACCGCCGCTTGTCTATGCCAAGCACGTCTTTTGGCCAACAAAACCAGTCGGAACCGAATGGAACGAGACTCGAAACGACCTTGCCGGCTCTGTAACTGTGCTTAGGCCCAGTTAGCGCAGCTAGAATCTTTGCCCGGGCCAGTCTCCTTGAACCGCAGTGCCTGGTTCAATAGCTCCTAACATTTCCGAGATCTGCGGTGAGTCCCGCACTCATTTCATATGCCAAAAAGCACCGCCGCCGTCGTCGTCTAATCAAGACTGGCAAAACAAGTTCAAAAACCTATGGGGGCAAAAAGCATCAACAACAAAAAGTTATTTTTTGTTAAATACAAACAAAAGCCAGTGCGGGTGTCGACGAGTCATTAAACTTGGCTCGCATTTGACATTGCCAATTGGAAGTGGAAGTGGAAGTGAACTAACTTGACTTGGCTGGTTGGCCGATTGTCTCATTTCGCGACTGACTGACTCCCAAATAGACGCATTTCTGCGGTTCATTCAACTTGTTTATGCGTATACACTCCGCTCCGGATCTCCGATCTCTGATCTCCAGCTGCAACTGCTCGAACTCTACTCCCGCTTATCTCGCCGAGCAGTTCGCTGAAAATTTCTGCGGCAACTCGGTCTTCAATTACCATGAATGAAGTGGCCTGAAGTGGAGCGTTGTTGTGGCGAGTTCCCAGCTCCAAGTTCCACGGAATGCTACACGAGTCGTCGTAAACAACGGCAAGCGACAAATGACAAACACCAGTTTTTTGCTTATTTCTTCTGGGGTCATTTGCCAGAGCAAAACGTGACAACTGGCGACTGGCGGCATTCCACGCAGCCGCAAACAGCCTCAAATGTCGCCACCACGTACCCTCAGTGCCACACTCAACCCGGCAAGAACCCAGCTCAGAAGTTCTTCAATTTCGATTTCATTTAGGCGAAACTGTGGCGAATCCATTCCGGAGAGGAATGACGGTGCCAAGCAGATCAAATCGAAGGACCACCGGCTCAACTTCCAGGCAAAAACCGAAAAACAGACGACATGCTGGCTGGCTGTCGAGGAATGCAGACATGCAAATTGCAATTTTCACAGCGGACGGGAAATTAGGTGGCATGCATGACTTAAATTAAGTAGTTTGTAGTTATGGGGTTCTCAATCAACAGAAAAATATAAGTTATTTCACTTGAAATGCATTTTTTGTTTAATTTTAAATGAGGGACTTAGGTGGCATACCTCTATTTTAATACATATGTATGTATGCATTACCATGTTTGTTATATTACAACTCTCAAGTGTCCTCTCCTCCCTTTTTATAACTTTAGTTGTATCTTAATTGAAAAGATCGATCAGTTGCACTATTATAAGTCAAGCCACTTTTTCTAGTTCTTTCGAATGATCTCAAGCCTTAATTGTAACAAAGGAACTAGTACTTGTTATTTTCCTAGAAATTATCCACTTTCCTTAATTACCTTTGTGTTTCATCATATAAAATAATAAAGTACGTAAAAATATGTGTATGATCTGTGAATGTCATTCATTGTGTAAACAAAAATGATGCAAGAAAATGGATTAATATCACTATCTTCTTTGGCAGAAACTGGACTTTCCATTGCGATATAATGGACATACTTTCGTTAGTCATGGGATATCATGATAAAAGTACTTGCAAAATCCCAAACTCCCCACACAACTGGGGTTCTTCTAAACTGGCGTCCCCTCAAACAGCTCCCATATGGCGAATTTCTGCTGAAATCAGCCCTACGAAATACCAGATTTAGCGAAATGGTGACTCAGTGGGTGCGTTTTTATGTTTCGCGGGGTGGTACCATTATAAATTAGCAGACATACTGGAAACACTCTCCCGGCTATGTCAAGCTAGACATCGCAATCAGATGAGTCACTCGGAGTGCCAAAAGTCGTATCCAGTGAGTAATGGAATGCACTTTCAGCTCAACAATTTGACCACGCCACTTGAAAACCCTCAAATCGGACGTTCCTGGAAACGTACATATATCTAGTCTGATTGCTAATCACTCTAAATTCTAGAACATGTGACAGCTGACGAGCTGCTGTGTTTTATCTTTATTATTTTTCTAAATTTCTATTCGGAGGCCGCACGGGTTTATTTTGTGAATCGTCGGCACATCCAGTCATCTCGTGAGTGGAGGAAGTCAGCCCGGACTCGGATACGGATCCAGATGCAACCCGTGAACAACTTGATTCACACAGTGGAAAACTAATTTATTTACTTATCCGCCTTATCGCTGTCATATTATCAGCATGATGCTGTATTTTTTCCGCAGACTTGGCGGAAACTTTTGTCACGAGCAGTGACGATAATTTTCCCTGGATTTGTTCAGATTATACATGATTAAGTGGGGTTTCGGGGGCATGAATGGCAGCCTGTTGGTTACCAAGAAAATTAAATACCAGATTTAGCATTCATTCTTATCAAGATTATGATTCTGTTGTACAAAATAAAGCTACAAATGATCCCTTAGGGAAACCGATTGGCTTCCACTTAACGCATCTTGAAAATACAGAAATCCAAGTAAAGCCTTTCTGGGATTTATATTATGGGAAAATATGCTTTAAGCATTGGAAATATTGCATTTGCTAAAAAATCCCCTTTATTCGAAACCCCTGGAGGAAATAAATCTAAGAATGATGGATTATATTTTTCCAAGTCCCTTGGGATACGTCTTTCTTTCCAGTTATAAAAACTTATCGTATTGCAAAATATTTTGAAATTAATGAGAACAAAGGAAAACAATTGATAGGGTTCTTCAGATATTTTTCCGATTAGTAGTACAGTCAGTTCTTTTCCCGTATAGTACTTTAGGAAATTCCTGTCTTATCACAGAGTACAGTCCCCCTAACTCCGGATGTGTGAAAATCAGTGCCTATATCCGTTTCGTTCCGGTTCCGATCACAGCGAGGCCTTCAACTCTTCGTGCTGATTACATTAGCGGCAATCGAGCCCCTTAAAACGTAGTTCTATTATCGTGGAACGAACGCCGATCCCCCGCCAATCCTCGCCAGCAGACTGAATTTCACCATGGGCATTATAATTAGCGTGAATCTATATATCGCCACCGTGGAATTTGCGGCGATAAGTCCGGGGGTCGATGTGTTCCGACCTCCAAGGCGACTTTCACCCAACCCAAGAGACCCCAAAAACCCCAACCAAGTATCAACTCTCTTTTGCGTATTTGATATTTTAGTAGAATTTTCAAGTTTTATTTCTTTTTAGTATGTTGTTTGTTTGCTTTTTTCTTTTCTTCTTGTTGTTTTTTGTTTTGTATCAAATTCTTGTTTTGTTTTTTCTTAGAAGCTCATTATGTTCACTATATCACGTGGCCTTACGAATAGTTTTTGCTTGTTTATAAATATAATTATTCTTTGATTAGACTTAAGAGCGAGAGAAAACCCTAAGCGGCTTAGCTGGCTATTGTACAAAACCTAATTTTAAGCAGAGACTTAATTCTAAAATGTAAGAGTTTTGTTTTACGTTTTTTTCTTTTTCATAAAAAGTGTTTCAGCTTTTTTGTGTGTGTGTGCTTTTTGTTTTTTGTGTGTGGAAGACATTGCTGATTTGCTGTTTTTCAAAGAGTTAAACGATTGTAATACATGATACATGAGGCAATTCAACACCAAGTACTTGGACTGAGGTAGTTTGGCGATGTTCCGATACAATACCGTTCTCAAATCGATTACATAATAATAATAAATAAGTTATAACAACGAGTGTTTGTGTGTGTCTGTGAGGATGAGTGTTTGAATGGAGATCCCTTCCTCCCGAGGGGGAATCTTAGATGCTCCAAGATTCCCCAGGAGGAAGTGTGGACCTTCCGAGGATTCGCATGTTTGCGTAAGGCACTTCAAAAGCAACATTGGCGTTATCCCGGCGAATGATGTGAAATGTCTGCGCATGCGCACAACGCCTGCGCATGTGGATACGGGTGTGTGTGTGGATGTGGATGTGGGTGAGTTGTGTCAGTCTTAAAAGCGGGAGATTCGGCAGATCATCGGGATCTACCACGGCCGCCAGGGCTGCTCCTCCTCCTTGATCTGCTTCTTGATCACCAGCGACAGCGGCTGCTGCTCGACGGGCACACGCTGGATCACCGACGGCTTGATGTCCATCGGCTCGTAGCTGGAGTTGGCCGGGCTGGGCGGGGCAAAGCTGCAGCTGCTGCTGCTACCGGGCGCCGACTCGTATCCGGCGGAGGAGTGCGAGCTGGCGGATCCGGTGCTGGCCGTGCGCTGGGGCATCGACACCAGCATTGGCATCTGCTGCTGCTGGGCGGCAGCTGCTGCGGCGGCTGCTGCTGCTGCGGCTGCCAGTTGCTGCTGCTGCTGCTGTTGCTGCTGCTGGTGCTGCAGCAACTGTTGCTGCTGCTGCTGTGGCAGGCTCTGGGGCAGCACGAGGGCAATGCTTCCATTGGGCAGCTTGGTGGGGATCACCTGCATGCCATTGGGCAGGAAGTAGCCACTGGCCGTCTGCTGGATCTGTCCGAAGAGATAGGGAGCTGCTGCTCCCGCTGGCTGCTGCTGCTGCGAGTCCTGCTCCGGGGAGCTGGGCGGCGAGGGCAGCATCTGGGCGTGAATCGATTGCTGTTGCTGCTGGCGCTGCTGCTGGTGCAGCTCTGTCTTGACGCCATTGATGCAGTTGCTCAGGTGCTGCAGCAGGCGGCGACGCTGGGCGGGTTCGATGCCGGGGAAGCGGCTCACCTCATTGACACAGTCAGCGAAGCCCGCCTTGAATTTGTTCACAATCTTGGGATCGGCGGCCTGCTGCATGGCAGCCTGCTGACGTTGCAGCTCCTGCAGATGCTTCACAGTCTTCTCCAGGATGTCGGCCTTTTCCAATTTGGAGTGGCGAGCCGGCTAAAAGTAGAGAGAAGAAGAATATCGAAATTAGTAAGGAACGAAATATGTTTTATTTTAACCTTTTAATCGTTTGCTTTATGTATTAGTTTAAAGTATTTTTCCCCCTTCCCAAACCCTTTGACTTTGTCAGATACTTACGTCTTTTTTGGTGGCATCCAAGATCAGCGTCTTCAGTTCGTTGAGGCAATTGTTGATGCGGGCTCGTCGTCGCTTCTCCATGATGGGCTTGTTGGACTGCAAGGGACAAGAGGCGGAAGGTTTCAGATTAGTCACGGCTTTTGCATGATGGCTGATTTTTGACCTCATGCAGCGACCCAAAAATAGAGGAAGCTGCATGGGTCTCAATCGGATGGTGGGGGGAAAAGTGGAGGAGCTGCACGGGTTGACTGGCTGGCGGCCAAATTTAGTCGCACGGCGCGTGCTCTATTTATAGCGCCACTCAGGCGAGGCATTGATAAAAATAGTTTGGCGGTTATAAATTACAGCCGCAGCCGGGCTATAAATAAGCCAGCCGGCGGCCAGGTATGCCAAGCAAGGTCAGAGCGGGAAATGCAAAGATTTTGGATGCCCAAAAAATTATTTTTTTGCGATGCCGAAATAAAATTAAATATTCGAAAAAGAGAAAAAGAAAAAATCACCAATCTTTCCACCAAATTTGGTGGCGGCACAAAACGCCCGCGGATGAAGTCAGCTTTTGGCCAAAAACGGCGGCTGATGACCGACAATTGCAGCGACCACGCGACGCACGCGCCAAGTGGTAGCCCAATCCGAATCCGAATACGATTCCGAATCCGCCGAACTGGTGGGCAGCTCCATCAGCCAATTTTGGGCTGCACTCATGAATGGAGCTGCTGCTGCGTGTACACATATAGTAAATGCCACCAACGCCGAGCGAGATAAATTCGCTTTGTGTTGGCGCGCCGACGGGCGACTGCTTATGGTCTGTCTACGTCGTCGTCGTCGTCGTCTTGGTCTCTGTCAGAGATTGGGAGACCGACTGTGGCCATGTGGGAGATGTGGCCAAAAAGGAAATGCATTTGGGCAGCGGCACCGGGATTGATGGGGCTGCTCGCCCACAGCGTTAATGGAAATCGAGTGCGAAGTGGGAGGCAGTGCTGTTCAATTAAGGGAATTCTTAATCCGGATTGGTGGCGTACTTTTTAATTTTTTGGGAGCTCAGAATATTTAATTCAAGCGGTATATTTAATCCAGCTCTGAGGGTTTATTTTAATCCAATTTTGAGGGAAAAGGGAATTTTTGGAGATGTTCTTGAGGGAGACACTTACCCGACGGTCACTTTTCATCGGCGTTTCCTTGAGCTGGGCGGGCACCACGGCGGTGCCCAGGACGTTGGCGGTCATGTTGGTAACGCCGGTAACCATTTCGGTTAGATATTCTTTGTTGAGTTTGAGGCACAGTTTGTCTGGTTTCACTTGGGCAGCAAATGTGGATTTGCTGCGCACTCTTAGCGGTTCACTGTCTTTTTTAAATTTATGTGTTTGTATCTTTGCTAACAGTTTGTGTGATTTTGTTCTGCTTGCAATTTTCAAGTTCACTTATTTTCACTTTCGCGCAGCGTCGCAGAGAAGCACGTAAATTGTGTGGATTCTCTGGGGTTGCTTTCGGTTTCGGTTGCGATTTATTTTTATACTTTTGCGGAGCGAGTGGGAACCGCACGCTACGAGTCACGGAAATTGAATGAGCAGCAGGTTCTGGCTGCACGGCGATTAAAAGTCAGACTCGGAGCGATACGAAGATCGATCGTGCGTCGTTCGGCTCGGCTCGGGTCGTGAGAGTCTGTGTGCGTTTGCGCTTGTGTGTGCGTGTGGGGTGGGTGGCAGAGCGGAGCGGAGCGGAACTACCTTATCGCTGGGCTCTCGGCGGACGAATGACGATTGATCGACAGGTTCGTGGGCTAAATCGCTGTTGCGAGACGCGAGCGCGAGTGCGCGCCACACGACCGCAGCACCAATACACACACACACACATAAGCAACTCGGCTACCTAAGAGGGAGTGCTTGTGTGTGTGTGTTTGCTACCTGCCCGCTTCGATGTGTGTGTACCTAGCCCCGCGTTACTCATACGCCCCCGAGGCCCCATCTAGCGGGCGTTTCTTCCTTTCTGGAAATCACACACACTGCGAAACCCCCTTCGATCGGGCAAAGCGAATGCGAGGGATTCACAAGAGGCTGTGCCGCCGGTGCTGGCCGATGGTTAAACTACTGCTGATTCATGGCAACGGCCAACGCGACGACGACGTCCCATAGAAGGTGAAAATAGCAGCAACGATATGACGCCACCGTCCCGAGTGTGTTTTATCTGCTCGGTTCGGGTTCGGGGGTCGCTAAACAATAAACAAGATCACAAGGTTGCTGCTGGGGCTGTGCGCACGCCAGGCGGAAGTGGGTGGCAGTGCTGGGTGGTTCTGCTGCTACTCCTCCTGCCCCACTGGATCAGCAATTAAGTGAAGGTCGTCGTAGCCCTTTGGGTTTTGATCGATCGCCACGAAATGAAATGGAAATGATAATGGAAATTACTAGAGTAGATAATGTAGGTATGGAGCGGAACAAGGCTGCGTGGATCACACGTGCGCCGGGCGACGCTTAGATTCAACTTGATGGCGTCTACGTGCAACGGCGGGTATTCACGTTTCGGTTTTTAAGTTGCTTTTTATGTTTTCAGTTTTGAGAAATGATTAATCGAAGGCTGTGTGTAATTACACGCCGCTACAAGGAAAACGTTGTTCTTTAGCCATAGAAAAAATAACCATTCATAACTTGCCACATTCTTGGGGAATTGTTCTGTAAACGGAGCCTCTTTAGGTAGAAATGGGAATTTTATTATTATGATGGATTCACAGGTGATATGTTTAAAGGGGTTTGGAATTGGAGCTTATAATGGAATGGAAGCTGTGAGATTTTATAAATTAATGTATTTTGGGGGGACTCTAAAGACTCTTGAGGAGTGAGAAAATTAGAGTAAACTAAAGGAATTTCTTTAATAAAGAACGGTAAGATTATATTTGAAAACAATTTGTCAAGTTCAGTTAGTTATTAAGTTCCGTATCCTTGCTCCTTGATTGATTTTCCTTGAAGTTTAAAAGGCTCATGAACTTAGTACGAAGAACCAACTATTTCAGACCTCCATTTAAGCAAATCAATCACGACAGTTTGCAGATATTTGGGTTTAACGACTCGCAAATCCACAAAACCCCAAAGAATGTCGGACACTTTTGATGGCTGTCTAGTGTTATGCGTTTTGTGGTCGCCGTGGAAGGTTGCCTTGCCGAGAACACATGCCCCGGCCGTAATGCTGCCGCTTTAGACTCGGAACGTTGAGGCGGCAGCAGTCGCGGACGTCGACAACACCTTCGCGTTCCAATTACAATTTGGCAGCCGATCAAAAGGCGGCCGCCCGCGGTCAGCGACGCTGGCTGAGACGGAGGTGCTGGCGGTGGCAGAGGCGTCGGTGGCAGCACTTGTGCATGCCAATTTAATTGCAACGAAATACAGCCAGGGGAAATAAACAAAATAAAAACAGCAACAGAAAACATCGGAAAACGTTGGCGGCGCTTTACATCATGCTCGCTGGCCAAAAACAGCCAAAGGTGTGGATGTATCTCACGGATACACACGGCCACAGATACAGATACAGCTGTTGTTTGTGCGCTCAACGCCCAATTTGATGCCCAATTGTTGTTGTTGTTGCCTTTGGCGATCACATGCAGCGTCTAAAATAAACTGTGGCAAAAATTTATAGTCGAAATGTGCGCATTGCTAATTGCGTCTAAAATTAGACAGCGCCAGATCCCCCAGTGCGGCCCCGTCTCCTCCCACTCCGGCGGACTGCCTCGAGTGCCCAGAACCCCCGGAGATCACCGTTTTGCAGATCACCGATCACCGATCACCGCTGTTAGCGGAAATAACAGCGACGGCGCGACTTTAACAGCGGCAGAGCCGCCCACGCGCCATTCGCTGCCGTCGGCAACAGAGCTTCGGCATGTAACTAAAAATAACAGTGGGGGGAGGCGAATTTTTGGGGCTCCGAGCTAACAGAGGGAGCTCTAGAGAGAGATAGCAAATACAGAGAAAAAAAGAGGGAGAGAGAGAGCGGAGGCTCCATGGCCGCGGCGAAAATAAATTTCTAGCCGCGCGCGCCACTCTTGCGATTAAAACGCCATAAAAATCGCCAACGCTGTTAAAAACGCGCGCCACATTTGCGCTGTGTGATCAGTTGCCGGCACTTAGAGAAAATTGGTTTAATTGATTAAATGGCATATTTAAATTATAATAAATGAAAGCTATAAATAAAACTATATTTATTTTCAATTGAATAATTTATTACATTTTATTTTTTAGTTAAGAAATAATAATAACTACAAACAATATAAAAGAGGCTTCGATGTAATTTCTCCACGTGTGCCAGGTACATTTGCTATTGCATTTAATGTTCATTTTGGGCTAACGAGAGTGGGTACAAGAAAGAGAGGAACGAAAGGTGTTAGAAAGAGAGGTAGATAGTCCGAGTGAAAGAGTTGGCACTAGCATTTGTTGCCCCACAGTGCGCCGCGGTTGTTGTGCAAAGTATTTTATTACTCATTAAGCGTAACGACGCATTTTGCCCAGAATTTCGTTTAATTTTGGCAAGCAGCGGTGGCGAAAGGGGAGGTATTTGTGTATATCTTTTCTTTACATTTTGTGTTTCTTGTCAGCGGCAGAAGGCTTAATTTTTCGACACAAACGTCAGCAAATTCCCGACGACAGACATTCTAAATTTAGCTACAGGTAAAAAACATTGCAAAAATACACTCATCTCCTCCCCTCCTCCTCTTCTCACGACTGTGTTGATTTTGTTTGTTTTTGTGCCGTGTATTTTGTTTTATTTTTTAGGCAGGGTGGCTCACCGCCGACTTTATAAGGGCAGCCGAAGATAAGGAATCGCGTGAGCCGAAAAAGATATAACTGCAAGAAAATGTGAAAAAAAACTGAAAAAGGGGGCATCCAAACGGGTTTACTTATTAGAGGTTCTAACGGTAAAGTTAAGGAAAAAATCAACACAATTTGGGGTACAGGAAACAGATATTCAGGGCATTGAATATTATGAAACCGCAAGGAAAGGCATATAATTATCTTAATCGAGTTTTAAAAGATTCTAATTTCTGAATTTAAGGTTATTCTGAGGCGAAGGAAATCTGGAAATATAGGAGTTCTGGGAATTTTAAGATATTATTGTCTTTATATGAGTTTTTTAAACACAAATATATGATTTAAATTTAGGAAATCAATACTTAATATATATCCATTAGAATTTCATAAACGAAACCGTATTTAAACTGTAAAATGTTTTTGAATACTTTAAGAACTAAATACAAAACAATACCCTATAATTTTCACCTAATCAATATGTTAAAATATATAGAAACAAACCAGCTTTACTCAAATTCCTTTCAATTTTCCTCAGAATCCTGACTGAATTGTATGACTTCTTATAGATTTGCCAAAGGGAGCTACACAAACACTTCCTTAATCCCCTGGAAAATATTTCCTGATCCTTGATTTGGATCCTCGCTTTGCAGGCTCAGCCGGTAAATTTGCCTGGAGAAAACCTGAAATGCGACTTGACTTTTCGACTTTGAAGCAAAGTGTTGAACAAAGTGCAGAGTGCTCCTGACTGTCCTCTTGGTATTTGGTAAATATTGGAGTTTTTCCAAAAGTTAAGACGTACAATCCTTTCGCTGGAAAACCTCCTCTTCTGGCAGGACTCCGCCTCCTTCGGCTACCGGGTCTTAACCCTTAACGTCCGCGGAACAGTAGCCGGGTGGCTTTTAGCATGGCCAACGCCCTCCCGGCTAAGGAAAGGGTTTGGTTTAAGCCGTGTCCTGGTCCCCGTATCGGTGGCTTAGTTGCGACCGCGTTAATTAAATCGCCTTAGTCACGCTCGCCTCCCGCAATCATGGCCAGAAAGGGGTTCAGTTCAGCTGAGCTCGGCTCGGAAAGGATTAGAGGTGGCCGCGGCAGGTAGGGTTTCCACGCTTTCTATTAACAGGATGATCATGCCCATCAAAGGGCTAAAACCACACACCCATAAAACCGAGCGTGCAACAATGCCACTGCGCGTGTGCAACGCGCATACCCTTTTGGGCCAAGTACATACATATCTTCTTCCAGTGTCTCAAACCCGTTTATTGCACCCTTTCAACCCGGTCAGGCACTTTTTACCTAGCAAATCCTATGACGATCCTGAGTCGCCGTGACGTTCGTTGTTTGTTTGTTTGCCATAAAAGGATTATGGGCGTGGTGGGTGCAGGTACAACTCTATAACCCTAGGACCGAGTTAACCCGTTGAAAGTCTCTGATTTCAGCAAGGACTTTGCAGCAGAGAGGGAGTTGGCAATATATGTACTATTCCCTCTAAGTAAATATAAATTTCTGGCAAAAAATAACTTCCTGGTACTAGACATTTGGTTCCCTGACGACTCCCTTTTTTATCCCTGCTGATCCTTTATTACTTTCACTAAAAAAGTCAACTCGCAGCCATAAAGGCATAACTGATGTTACATCGCATTGCGTAAAAAACGAACGCAGTTCCCTGAATCACAAATGCTCAAAATCGTTGACAACAAATTGCATAAAAAACGCTTTCCGAAACATTTACGAGTTCGCCTAAAAAACGCTCGCAAAAAAATTATGAAAAAATACAACCTCAAGGTGAGGATCGTATGGAATGGGCTGGGAAGGATCGATAGATGGATGGATGGATGGGTTTGCGCAGCATGCAGAAGGATTTTATGGTTTTATTTAGGGTTATTTTCCTCTCCTTTCCTCTCGTCACCTCAGCGCCCATCGCCATGCCTCAATGTCAAATCAATTGGCGGGCAAACGTCAAATACA